TAAGTTGTATTTACATTTTCATTTGTTTGTAGGTATTTTTTAATTTCTTCTTTAATTTCTCCTGTAACCCATTGGTTGTTCAGCAGGTTGTTGTTTAATTTCCAAGTGTTTATGGAGTTTTTGGAGTTCCTTTTGTCATTAATTTCCAATTTCATTGCACTGTGGTCAGATAATATGCATGAAATAATTTCAGTTCTTTTGTATTTCTGTAGGTATGCTCTATGGGCTAGAATGTGGTCTATTTTACAGAAAGTCCCCTGTGCAAAAGAGAAAAATGTGCATTCTGATGTTGTGGGGTGGAACACTCTGTAGACATCTACTAAGTCCATTTGTTCACAGATTTGGTTCACATCTGTTATTTCTTTGCTGATTTTTTGTCAGTTGACCTATCTCTTTGTGTCAAAGGGGTATCGAGGTCCCTTATTACAATAATATTATTAATTACATGGGTTTTCATGCCTGTTAAGGTTTGTCTTATATAGTTTGGTGCTCTGATATTTGGTGTATACATGTTTATGATTGTTATCTCATCTCTTGCAGTTTTCCCCTAACAAGGATGTAGTGACCTTCTTTATCTCTTTTGATTGCTGTCAGTTTGAAGTTTACATTGTCTGCAAACATAATAGCTACATCTGCTTTTTTCTGGGTTCCTGTTGCATGGAAGATTGTTTTCCATCATTTGACTTTCAGTCTTTGGATTTCCTTTTGAGTAAATGTGTTTCCTGTATACAGCATATCCTTGGATTTTGTTTCTTACTCTACTCTGCCAGTCTGTTTCTTTTGACTGGTGAACTGAGGCCATTTTCATTTATGGTTATAACCAATATGTGTTGACTTATCATTGTCATGTTATTTACTTGCTGTTGGTTTCCTACTTTTTCTACCTGTTTAATTGCTTGGTCTGCCTGAGCATTCCTTTCTATTGTTGTTCATGAAATTGCAGTCATTTTTTTCTCTGTCTAGAATATCTTTTAGTACTCTATGCAATGATGGTTTGGCACTCATGAAGGTTTTCAGTTGTTCTTTGTCGTGGAAATATTTTATTTCTCCATTGAATTTGAGGGATCATTTGGCAGGGTACATCAGTCTTGGTTGGAAGCTGTTTTGTCTCAGGATCTCTAGTACTTTGCTCCAAGCTCTTCTCGATTGGAATGTTTGTGTGGAGAATTCTGCCATGATTCTGATGGGCTTTCCTTTATAGGGAATCTGTTTCTTTTCTCTAGCAACTTTTAATATTCTGTTCTTTTGCTGGAGATCTAGAATCTTAACTAGTATATGTCTGGGTGTAGTTTTATTTTGGTTATGGCTAGTTGGAGTTCTATATGCCTCATTTACTGTATATCAGATTCTGTTTCCATGCTTGGGAAATTTTCTGCTATTATTTGTGCAAATATTCTTTTTATGTCAGTTGTGTTGCCTCCTGCTGTTTCATTGACTCCTATTAGTCATACATTATTCCTCTTTGCCTCATCTTGCAGCTGTTGAATTTATTTTTTCTGGTTCCTTGTTGATTTTGTTTGTTTGTTTTGTTTTGTTTTGTTTTTCTTCCAGTACCAGGAATTGAACTCAAGACCTTGCGTTGCCAGGCAGGCACTGTGCTACTGAGCTAAATCCCCAGCCCCTGCTTGTTGATTTTAAGAGATCCTTTCTTTTACAATCACTAGCTGCCATGCTGTCTTCAAAATCTGAAATTCTATCTTCGGCTTCCTTCAAGCAGTTTTGGCAGCTTTCAGTGGAAGCTTTGATTTCCTGGATGTCTCTTTGAATCTGGTTCATGCATTCTAATTCCTTCCTATATTGTTCATTTAACGTTTCCGTCCTCCACGGAATTGAATTGCCTGTATTCACCTATTTTTTATGTTTCTTCTTCAGATGTGCTGAGCAGTTCTTTCATTACTATTGTCATTTCATTTTTTTGCCTGAGAGATTATTTCTGTTCTTATCTCTTCTCTGGCCTGATGAAGTTGTTTCTTTGCTTCCATTGCAATCATTTCAGCAATATCAGGAGTGTGTTTACCAAGTTCTCCTATGTCTATGTCTCCTGGACTTATTCTGAGAGGGGTGAAGTTCTGAGATTGCATTTTAGTTATTTGTCTTGTCATGTTTGATGTTAGTGGTAGAGCACTCAGTCCCTTTCCTCCCTGTCAGCCCAGCAGAGGTCACTTACCTCCCTAGTTTGCCTGGTGGTCAAACTTGCCCCTCAGTGGCCACTGGGGTGTGCTGCTTAGTCTGGGTTTTTCCAGCAGTTGGTGAAGTTACCTAGTTCTCCCAGGTCTCAGACAGCAGTCACGATGTCATCAGGTCACAGACAATCTGATCCTGTGTCCTCTGACAGCTCAGGGCATGAGTATGGACCAGAAGTAGTCTGCACTGGTGGTGTGATCACAGACCACTTGGTCCTGTGACTCCAGGGAGTTCAGGGTGCAGGTAGAGCCCAGACACTGACAGCAGGGTCTGCAGTTCATGGACTGCCTGACTCTGTGTCTGCAGGCCTCTCACCATAAGCACAGGAGCCAAAGGTGGTCTGCGCTGGCAATGATCACAGACCACCTGTTTCTGTGCTCCTGCCCTGAAGCGAACCCTGGAACCCAGATGCTAATCGCAGCTTCAGCAGTTTCATGGACCACCTGCTCTGGGGATTCACATGTCACTGGGCACACACAGGGGTGCCCCTTACAAACCCCAGTGTTAGCGGGTTTATGGGTCCCTTGAGACAGTCTCCTGTGTGCCCTGGGTGCACAAAGGGCAGAAACACAGACTGCAATGGCAGCTGCATTCTGGGATGCCTACTGTGTTCCCTGGAAATAGATGGGGGGCTACCTAGTTCTCACGGCGTTCAGCTGCGAACCGTGATGTGAGCAGCTCATGGGCCTCCTGATTCTGTATCTGCTGGCCACTCATGGTATGCACAGGAGCCAGATGAGGTCTGTGCTGGTGGAGATCAGGAACCGCCTGTTTCTGAACTCCCGCCCCAATGCAAAACCTTTATCAATATATAAATTGTACGGATAAAAATTTTACTTAGTATCTAGGAAATAATCATAAAATGTAATAGCATTAGCTGAATTGCTGAATAGGGTGCTGTTTATAACTTTTGGTGTAAGATAGACTTTGGAGCTTAACTCACATCAGATCATATTAAAATTAGAATTCTCAGAAGTTATCCAGCCAAATCTTGTCCTTTATATGTAATATACTGATATTAGCAATTATATAGAAATAATCAGCTAGGGCCAGGGATATAGCTCAGTGGTGGCACAGCACCTGCTTGGCAAGTGCAAGCTCCTGAGCCTGACTCCTGGAATCCCCCTCCCCCACAAAAAAGCAGCTAAAGTTAATCAGCTGATGGTGAAAATAACAATGCAGGTCATATATACTGACAGATTTCATTCTTATGCTCACTAGTGGCAGTACTACTTATTAGACACTTATCTCCAATACATAGTACAACTTTTATTCAACACCACAGTCTATTAACTTGCCGTCTATATAGTTCTAGCCAGGGAGCTCCTAGAAAGTGAGCTCATACCTTTCCCATTTTTGTAAAACTGGCAAATAGAAGGTTCTCAGTAAACATCTGTGCATTAATCCCCAAGTGATATAAGCAAATCATTGTGTTTGGCATCAGGAAACCGATTATCACCATGAGAGCTGTCGCTGACCAGTTGGTCCAGATTCCAGACTGTGTCCAGGGTAGGCTTTTTTTTTTTAAGGCTTATTTCTTGCCACTAGAGGGCAGGAAATGCTTTACAAAGGGAAAACAATTCACTGGTCTTGTTAGCTATTGAACTCCCCCAGGAGTAAACAACCTCATTGCATGAAGAGCAAAGATATCCCAAAGTCGAAGGGTTTTAGGAGAGCTGTTTTACTCCTCACCTTTCCCCTTAACCATCTCGGCTTCCTTGGTGAGTTTGGTTCAAGTTGACTCATTTGGACTCTTAAGATGTTTGTTCCCCTTTCTACAGGGAACCTCTGATTAGATTCATATAAAAATGCTCCCATTTAAAAAACTTTACACAAAGAAAAGCCTAAAACTGCAGCAGTGGGGTCCTCATATGTATGAGGCATCCAAAAGGCTTCCCTTCATTGTTGTCTGGCATAGCCTCTGATGTCAGAGTACTCAGCTTCCACAAGCTAATGTGACATCCTTACCCCGCCTTGACCTCTTAGGTTAGATCTCCTCAGCCCTAGTTTTCGCTGACCACAATAGATGACTCAGACTTTTGATTGTGATTTTCTCTTTATATTTTCTCTTCTTTAAAATCACAGTTCCTTCCAGTGTGAGCGGAGTGACTGTGAACAATTTAGGCCGAAATGACTACCTCAGCGTGTCCTGGCTGCCAGCGCCTGGTGATGTGGATAACTATGTGGTAACACTCTCTCACCATGGCAAGGTGGTTCAGTCCCTCGTCATTGCCAAGTCTGTCAGCGATTGTTCCTTCAGCTCCCTCACCCCGGGCCGCCTCTACAACGTGACCATTACTACCAGGAGTGACAAGTACGAAAATCATTCCTTCAGCCAAGAGCGGACAGGTAAGGATGTGTAGAGGTTCAGGGCTCCATAAAAACCAACTGGACCTGTGGCTCAGGGCATCATGGAGATGTAGCAGTCCCATGATGGTAGCACAAAAGGCAGGTGAGATCACAAAATTGTGATGAACTCTTAGTACTGTGATTCAAGAAACTCCTTACGTGACTAGATGTTACCTTTACAGGAAGATTCACACAGATTTCATGGCTAGAATTCATATTATATTCAAATAATGTTGCAAGTATTTCTGTCTAGGGAATACTTTTTGGTAACTGGCTTTACAGACATTAACTAAACCTACAAATGCCCTAGTGACATAGTTGTTATAATTCCCATTTTATATGTTAGGAAACAGGTTCAAAGAAGTTCAGTAATTTGTCCAACTGTCTACCTTGTTAAACAGCCAGTAAGTTTCAAAGCATAGGTTTAAATCTTTTTCTGATTGACTCAAGAGCCTATAAAAGTTTCTGTGCTAAAATCTTCCCTGAAATGTGTGTTGATCAAGACTACTATTTATCCTTTTCCACATAAGGTGGAAATGTGAACCTTTATAGATCTGAGGCTAGGAAGCAAAACTCTTAGCAAATGAATGTCAGGTCTTTGATGTGCTAGAAAGAACTAAATATAGATAGCTACCATTTCCTAATATATTTATGCTTTATGGGGTTGACTTGTGAGAGTTCTCCTTAAGGTTAACCTCAGTATTTTATCACATCTTTTTACTGAGCTCTGCATTTTGCCTTTTAAAATGTCCTTTTTCCATAGGGATCTGGGACAATTGTCATCATCCTATTACCTGGTACAGAATCTGGGGCTTGGTGGGCACTCAGCATCTGCTGAATGAATAACCAGGGCTCAGGTCAGGGTTTTCAACTGGCAACCCATGGGTGGCTGTTCGACATGTGGTGACCCCTGAAATTATCCAGGAAGTTGTGGAGGATAAGAAATGTCTGTGCATTTCTTTGGAGAAAGAGTCCAGATTTCATAGTTTCTGTGCCCACCCTTCAAAGTGCAGAAAGTCTGTCTTACATGGTCACAGAATCCTAACACTGGAAAGATCACTACAGTGACCTAATCCCTTCTGCTCAGTTGGAAATAAAGTCCAGAGAAAGTGTGGCTTCTCCAAGACCACATGGCTGTGACTCAGCCATGTCATCATCTATACCAAAAAATACTAACTAGAGATACAGAGATTATTCCTACCTTCTAACAATTTAAAGTCTAATTGTACTGCTGATCACAATAATGACTTAAATCTGAAAAGCTGAAGCAGTCTTAAGTCAATGGAGTCAATGTCTCATATTGATCAACTTGGAACCTAAACATCACTAGAAATTAAAGGAATGTCTCCTATCCATATGACTTCAATATTGCAAAGCTCTTTTGCTAAGGTTGTTTCTAAATGTAGGGAAAGTGATCCTTTATTCAAAGCAACCACTTTACTCCTCCACCAGCATGAACTTAGATTTGGAGCCTGATTAACAAAAGTGAATGATTTTAACTGGACAGTCATGTCTGAGTTGTTCTCCTGTTGATTTTGGCTGATTATCTTAATGTCCTTTCCCTTTTGTAATGCTTTTCTTCTAAATTTTGGGTGAAAATACCAATAATTCTAGTTCTGTATCGTGTCATCTGACCGCGCAGCAAGGCAGTTCTCACAAATTACTACAGTTCCACATGGAGAGCTCCTGATTGACTTGATGTGGTATTCAGCCTATTTTTCCTTCCTGTAATAATCGTTTTGCCTTCAGTAAAATGCCTGTGTCATTGACATTTCTTAGCCCATACATACAATGTCAATGTCACTTCAGAATTTCTTCTTAATTCTACAGTGACTAAATTCTAGCAACACTGTAATTGGTTTTAGGCAAAATTTTACGAAAAGCTTATCTGTCCTTGCTCTAAGCCTGTGGTGGGCTACACTATAACATAAAAACTAATCAGTAAATATGATCCAACAAAAAATTAATGCAATTTATAAGTGTAGAAAGCATTGTAATGTAGTTTAGATACTCAAATACTGAAATTTCTGAATCATTTCATGATTTCGGAGCAAGTAAAAGAGAAGAACAAAGGTTGGCATGTAGTCAGAACAGAAATCATTTAATGTATACTAGACATGTACAGAGGTTGTACAGATCCAAAAGATGTATTAATATTGGGACAGAAGTATATACCCTACATCTGAGATCATGCCTCTTTTCAGCATTCCTCATTAATATTTATAATACCTGGTTATATTCAAAGAGAACTGAATCTGTGATCTGATGAATCAAATTTGGTCCTAAATGAACTATCAGAATAAGCTTAAGCTCATTCTTTAGATACAGAATTGTCTTATTTTACAGTGTTCCTCATAGTATACATTTACCTATTTATTTACTGAGGGAAAACCATAGGTACACAGAACAGTTTGTTTAGATATTTATTGGAAGAAGCTTCAGGTACCCAATATAGCATTAATCATAATTCTTGGTTTAGAAAACTGTGTACCAGTTCGTACTTTTATCTTTTAAGTCATCTAGTTAGTAATTTTTAATAATTCAAAATTACATAAGGAATTGCTATCTAAAATGAAAGCTAGGACCTTGACAATACTCCCCTTCACTTTTTTTTTTTTTTTTTTGGTACCAGGAATCGAACTTAGGACCTTGTGCCTGCCAGGCAGGCGCTTGTGCCACTGAGCTATATCCCCAGCCCAGGACCTTGACAATAATCTGTGTAAATTTATGTTATTCCCACCTAATTCACCCACAGTAACCAACATCTCAACTCATGTTCATATCTCCTTTGCTTTCCATCTTGCATAGTCTGATTGCCACTATGCAGAGGCCTAAAGCTAGAGGGTTGTAATTTTATAGTTGTTTTAGCAAACAAAGAAGTACTTTTATTCAATATGTAATGCTTTGAGCTTTCTCCAGAAATTTGTGATCTACAAGTCAAAGATTTTTCTTTAAAATGCACACATTAAAAATTTACTTTCTGTATCATCCTAGATTGTCATCTGTGATGTATTGCTACCTCAGAATCACTAAACCTTTAGCTGTTCTCTATTCTCTTTTTCAGTGCCTGACAAGGTCCAGGGAGTCAGTATTAGCAACTCAGCCAGGAGTGACTATTTGAAGGTGTCCTGGTTGCATGCTACAGGTGACTTTGATCTCTATGAAGTCACCATTAAAAACAAAAACAACTTCATTCAAACCAAAAGCATTCCAAAGTCAGAAAACGAGTGTGTCTTTGTTCAGCTTGTCCCCGGACGGCTGTACAGCATCACTGTTAGTACAAAAAGTGGACAATATGAAGCCAGCGAACAAGGAAATGGGAGAACAAGTAAGTGAATGACTGCAGATTGAGTGGATGTGAAGGTTACTGAGTTGCTAATTTATCTCAACCTTGAATATGTTTTGTTTATTGATTTGTAAGGTGCATTCTCAGTAAGTGTCACTCTCTGTCATTACAAAATATTTACTGATAGGTAAAGAGCAAGCGTAATGAGGGACAGAGAAGAACAAATACTCCAGCTCTCCTCCCCGCCTTTCTTCCCTGTGGCATTAAAATTCTAAACTTGTTTTATCTTCTGGTTGAGCTCTTAACACCTTTTATAACTACATTCTACCAACATGTAAAATATAGGATTAATGGCAGGAAAAAGCTCACAATTTTAATGGTTGCTTCCAACTTTTCTGGTTTAGTTATGCATGAAATTGATCGCATGTCTTACTTGGACAAGAGAGATGTTTGCCAGTCCCTTAAATGTGATTCATAAGTTACTGTGTAGCTGACTCTGATGGGTTCCTTTCCTGAAGCATCTTCTCAATTTTCTCCCTAGTCCCAGAGCCTGTAAAGGATCTAACACTGAAGAACAGAAGCACTGAGGACCTCCACGTGACTTGGTCACGAGCCGCTGGGGACGTTGACCAGTATGAGATCCAGCTGCTCTTCAATGACATGAAAGTATTTCCTTCTTTTCACCTTGTAAATACCGCAACCGAGTTTTGGTTCACCTCCCTAACACCAGGGCGCCAGTACAAAATTCTTGTCCTGACCATCAGTGGAGATGTACAGCAGTCAGCCTTCATTGAAGGCTTAACGGGTAATTTGAAATATTGTTTTTGAACCGGCACAGATACAGCAGTGTACTGATGATGTTGGATACCCCAGGTATCTAAAATTTAAAGGGAGATGTCACTAGACGTGATGATGCACGCCTGGAATCCCAGCACTTGGGTGACTGAGGCAGGAGGATCATTGTGAGTTTGAGACCAGCCTGGGCTACAAAGTGAGCTCAA